CTCACCACAGTCCTCGGGACATCCTCCCGGGAGAGAGGAGGCAGATGCGCCCTAACCAGGGTCACGCTCCGAGCACAACGCTCTCTAGAGCTACCTGTCCTCCTTCCGGCCTTCTCTGAGCCCCCAGCTAAGCAGGCAGGCGTGTGGCCCCCATCTGACAGCCCCCATGACCCCCTTCCCTCTTGGGACCCCTGCCGAGCAGCAGCCTGTGCCCACGACGTAACCCCGGACCCTGTCCCGTCACTGTGGTCGTCCGTCTGGTGTCCCACCTGGTCTGGAACTCTGAAGGCAGGGGCTGCCTACGTCCTCTGATCTAGCACACCAGAGGGTGCCCAGCCTGGCAGCAGGCGCACCTGGGGCCTCTCTGCCCCCCGGGGCCCTAACTGGGCGACACGGGCACGGCCAGCTGCCGGGCCTTAGTGTTCTCACTGGGCAGACGGGGGCGACCACGCTCGGCACGCTGCCTGCAACTTGGGCACTCACTGCTTCTTTAAAAGACACGGACACTGGCGGGCCGTGCTCAAGGGAACCAGGAAAGGAAGCCACCGCGGGCATTACTTCTATTAATAGAACGAGGTCCTGAGACAGCACTGCCACCGACTCCGCTGAGGACAGGGACAGCTGCCTGTGGGGACGGCCCTCCTTCCCCCAGCCCCCACCCCACCCGCCCCGGCGAGCGCGCCACGCACAGCGCCAGCACGCCCACCGCGGCCGGCCACTCGGGGCGTCCCCCACCTACACTGCGGCTAGGCCGGTCTGCCTGACTGCCAACCAGCCGGCAAACGCAGTCAGCGCCCGCCTCCTCGGGGCCGGGCCACCCCCCCACCCCCCCACCAAGAGTCCCCCCACCCCGTGCAGGGCGGAGACAGGACTTCAAACGTACGCTTCAAAAACAGATGTTTGTCATTACATTTTAACGATTCTGAAAACTTCGTTTCATGACAAGGAATTCAGTATCACAAATAACCCAGTTTGCAAAGTTTAAAGTCTCCTGAAACACAGCCAGGACGGAATGCGGCCAGTAACTTCTCTCCCAGGCCACTGGCAACTATGTACCAACAGCTATGCGGACTGGGCCTCGGAGTCTTGACCCCGTGTGAGCCAGACCTCACCATCAGGCCACACGGCCACCGCTGACCTCATCCTCAGAGCTGCCGTGGACCACGGACCACCGTGGGCCATGGACACCTCACTTCTCTCCCGCGACCAGAAATCCTTGGACCGACCAGAATGCAAGCCACAGACCAAACAGGAACAAGCACACCTTCCCTCCTACGTTATACCCGAACTCGCTGACCACCTGCAAGTCTGCAGATGACCACCTAAGGGCTGCCAGAGTCGCTCTGAGGAAATACAAACCATCTCCTAATCCACACGTCAGGAAAATCATCAGAGGCTGGGCCGCTTGGACGCAGGTCGCCTGGAACTCCTGAATCCCTATTCCTTTTCATCTATAGCTGACTTTATCTCCCCAAACTGCTAGTTTCGACCATTTCCTCCTGCAGTAAAAGCTCTAAGAACAGTTAGTCTTTTATCTCCCGTAGCAGCTGGCGTCCTCCAAGCAAGTATGTACTGAATAAGGTGACTGGGTTCAAATTTATTACACAACCTGTTATGTGTTGGATTGTGTCCCCTGAAATTGCTATGTCCAAGCCCCGACCCCCAGAATCACAAGGCTGTGACCTTATTTGGAAACAAGGTCGCTGCAGACATAACTGGCTGAGGTCATACATGGGTTGGGTGGCCCTAATCCAGGGACTGTGTCCTCATAAAGGGGAGGTCTGGACACAGCAGAGACCACGGGGAACGTCGTGAGGACTCTGGGCGTGTGCGGGGCCCCTTTTCCCAGCACCTTCAGAGTGAGCACGGCCCTGCCGGCGCCCTGATCCCAGACCCATACCCCGATCCCAGGTCTGCACCCTGTTCCCAGGCCTGCACCTCCAGGCCTGGGAGAGAACAAACAAGGTGTGCGGTGCAGCCGGCCGGGGGTGCGGCTCTGTTACGGCCCCAGGACACAGATCCCGGCCCAGTGGCTTAAGCCCATCTCAGCGCTCACATGCACACCCAGGACCCCAGCGAGGCCAGAAGGGTAGCAGGACCTTCTCAACTGTGATCCAAACGGATGGGTGGAGAGTCTCCAGAAAGCACTTGACCGATTCCAGTGTTCTGTTCTCCTGGGCTGACGGACGAGGAGCCAGGCTCCGCCAGCGTCTCGCGCTGGACGCAGCAGCTCTGTGGGCCGCACCGACGAGGAAGACTGACGCGGCATCTCATGACCCCCTCACCGCTGTGTGCTCAGAGGTGCTCCTCCTTCTGGAACGTATCTTCATTCCAGCCCTGTGACTAAACAGTCCAGAGGCGCTTAAAGTGTGAGTTCACGAGCTCAGGGCGCCCTGGATTCCAGGGCCTCTGCTCACTCCCATCCGGGAAGGGGGAGCCAGCCAGCAAATCACCGGGGCCATCGCTGGAGAAAACCAAAGCGGAAGCGCCTCAGGCACGAAGTTCCAGGAGACCATGGAATCCACACTCGGTCTCCCCTACAGCAGAGAACACGCCGATGGCGATAACGAAAGGTGTCTCTTTCCTGAGCTGCTCACAGAAGTGTGTGACCCCCGCCTCACGAAGGGCAGTCTGCATCCCCACACCCCCGGGGAACCTGGGCAGAAACGTCTACAGCCTGAACCGCAATGCGCATCCCGTGGCTTTCCGCCCTTTCCCTGGCTCCAGCTAGAACGAAGGACAGAACGTGAGGAACAAACACCCTGGCACGTGTCTTCTTAACCAGAGGTACGAGGGAAACGGAGCCACCTCTGCGCTTGCCCCAGCCCAACGTCCACTTTGAATCGTGGACGTGCACACGTGGCACGCTCCCTCCGGCCCAGGACCCCGCGGCCAGCGTGTCCAGGTGGCCAACTGCGCTACAGCTAAATCCCTTCGGGAGCCACGTGAACCTTCGGCGAGGTTTCCAAACGCTCCTGTGTAAAGAAGGCCATCGTCCCCAGACTGACGTCCGCACACCCAGCGAGGGCAGCCACACATGTCAGCTTCGTGGCTCGCGCTGTGTGGTGTGCAAGCCCGAATCAAAGCCTCTGCTGAAGAGACAGGAGAGCTCAGGCAACTCGGAAACCACGGCTTTCAGAGGCAGAGACTGGCTAATATTTGACTCCGGAAACCTACCTTTGAACCACAGAAAACCGGTAGTCGGTCTCTGATTTGTGCCACTTGCATCATGACAGTGTTGGCAGAAAACCAACCAGCTGGGGCCGGGGAGGGTGGGGGTGGGGACGGACGGACAGGGCAGCAGAGGACCCTTCTGGAGGACCCTAGCTGCAGAACACGTTGGACTTCAGTCCGCCTCCCGCAAGCTCAACATTTCCTCTCTTCACTCTAAGGACGGAAGGAGTGCTACGGTTCTGAAAGAAAACCTTTCTAGAATGTAAAAGAAAAAGATTATTGAAGTCTGCCGATGAAATTAATGCACTTAAAATGCCAAGTAACGCGCCTGGACAGTGACACGATTCTGTCTGGACAGCGCACGTGTCCTGCAGCTCAGTCCCGGCCATGGAACCGCGCGTCGTGGAAGCCTGTGTTGCTGAACTTCGCGTGCGACGGCACTGCCTCCCGACATCTGTCTTTTATTACCAGGCGTCCTGGGATCCAGATGACAACAAACCGTTCCCAGGGCCTGGAGACCTAGATTCTGCTCCTTAATCCTGTCTTAAATCATAATTTTATTTTGACATCAGGATGGTTCACAAGCAGCATTTCTATTTCCTGGCCAGGCAGACAGCCCTTCACCCCACACAGATTCAGTGCGGAAAAACACCTAAAACCAGCGTGCACGCACATTCATATGAAATAAAACCTTCTCTGCCCTTTACAATGCGGCACCAACCCATGCACAAACTTAAAAGATTAAACGTTTTTACCCCTCAGGCCCCGTCCCCCCCAGTCACCTAATTATCATTCGATTAGCAAATCGTCACGGTACCGTTTGGGCTAACACAACCCCATCTTAAAAATTAGCTGTTTCCTAACTACGGTTTGCTTCCGCTTCTACACTTAACACCTTTTAAGTAACCGGTCGAGCTTAAGATTCTGCACCGGGGGAAAAAAAAAAAAAAAGGTGGGGGGAGGGATAAAATTGCAGTGTTTTTGAAACACAGGGTCACGTCGTTTTTAAAAGCCCTCCTCCGGCCCGGCCCCTGCTTTGTCAGCCTGCGTGGGAGGAAAGCAAACTTGAATCACTCACAGAGACGCGGGCCAGGGTTCACACCCCCGCCCCGGGGGCGCAGGCCGGGCCGGCCGGGGGCTTCTGCTCGGAATCCGGCACCTGGCCGAAAACGAGATGTAGAATTGAAAGCCGGCCTCGGAGGGTGCCGTGGCCTCGCGGGCTCGGCCGTCCCCGCGCTTGGCGACACGCGGGGTCCTCCCGGGAGGGCAGGCGGTCGTTCCCGGCCCGGCCCCCGGCTCGCGATCAACGCGTCTTTGAAAAACGCCCAACAACTGGCCGCGCGGGCAGAGGTGAGCTCTCCTCCGATGCCGCCGACAAACTGTCCAAACAAAGCCCCGCGGAGGCTGCGCGCGGCGCGGGAGCCCGGCTCTCCGCCCGGACCACCGGCAGGGGCGCAGCGGGGCCGCCGCTCTCCCCCGCTGCGGCCTCCCCGGGGCCGGTCCCCTCGGACGCGGCCGGCACCCCCCCCCCCCACCGCGGGCCCCGCCGCCGCGCACACAATGGCGCCCCGAGCTCGCGCCGCCCGGGCCTCGCGCCGCCTGCGCGCCCCCCGCGCGGGCCGCGTTCCCGGGTCCGCGCACAAAGGAGGCGCGTGGGCTCCTCCGCGCCTCGCACCGCCACCAGGTGCCGACGCCGGCGACCCCGCGCCCGCGCGTCTCCGCGCACCCCGGGCCGCGGCGGGAACGAGGCGGGGCGCCCGCCGCCCGGGGCCTGCGCGCCGCGGGGGCCTGCGCGCCGTGGGGGCGCGGGCCGGGGCGGCACTTACTTTCTCGATGGTCCCGGGCAGCAGGCGCTCCAGCAGCCTGCAGAGGACCACCCCATCCTTCAGAGACGCCTGCAGGAAGCCCTCCGGGTCCGAGATGGTTTTCTTGGGCGACTCCAGCACCCCCAAGGTGATGAGCCACGTAACGGTCTGCTCGGCGGAATTCATAGCGGCGGCGCGCCCGGCCTCCCCGCGCCGCGAGCGCGTCTGGGCGCCGTTCACCTCGGAGCGGCCGCGGCCCGGCCGGCTGCGCCCCCCGCCCCCTCCGGCTCGCCCATGGAGAGGCCGGCCCCGCGATTGGCTCGGGCGGCGCCGCGGTCCGGCCGGCTCGCGCTCCCTCGCGTGCGTCCTGGCCGACTGTCAAGTGCCTTTTCATTAGATGCACATGAACCTGCGGCGGCCGCCCGGCGCCGCCCCCGCCGCCGCCTCCCGGCTCCCAGCCGCCGCCGCCGATGACATCACCGCGAGCAGAAGAAAAGACGCGGCGCCGGAGCAGCCCCGCGCCGGCCGGCCGCACGCGCTCCCCGCGCCCGGGCCCGCCGTGCGCCCCGCCGCGCGCCTCCGCCCCGGCCCGGCCGTGCGCGCCCACCTGCGCCGCCGTGACCTCCGGAGGCGCCGGCCGCCTTAACCGTTTGCGCCCCGCGGACGGCGGCGCGCGGGGCTGCCCTCGCGCCGGCCCCCCCCTCGGAGGGCGCGGAGCCCGTCATTGATTTTCTGAATTCGCCGGTGTGGCAACTATTAAGTGCTTCCCAGAATGCTCTTTTCATTTCTGCCAGTTTTGTTTCGGGCGGGGGTGGGGGTTGGGGGGTCCGAAAACGAGACGTTTGCTTCTCCCCGCCACTTTGCAAGCCAGCGATTACAGAACACAAATGATCATTACATCTGCGGGCAGATGGGCCTAATTCGGGAGGGAATTGATTCCCCGGGAGGTCCTGGGATCCTTGGGGATGTGGACGCCGCCCCCAGCCCCGCGTGGCGCGACGTGCTGGGGCGGCAGGTGTGCCCCTGCGGGAGGCCCGCTCCGGCCGCGGCCTCCCCACCCACCGGGCCGGCCCCCCGCAGAACCAGAAACCTCGGAGCGACCTGACTGTAACTGGTGGTGACGTTTCAGGCACCGTGGGCGTCAGGAAAGCAGCAGAGCCTGAACTGGGTCTGTGTCCGTGACGGTGACAGGAAGGAAGGACCGAGAACAGCTCCATCCAAACGGGCCTCGGCCCCCACCTCACTTGGGCAGAAGATGCTCGGTTGTCGTTGGCATGAAGAACCGGGACTTCAAACTGTCCCGCGTTGAACAAGCTTCTCCGAACATGGACTGACACTGCCACATGCATATAACCAAGGAAGAGACCCCTTCTTGCAAGAGCCGGGGGTAAAGGAGACTCCCTTGAACACGTGTGTCCCTTTACCCCCTCCAGAGCCCCGCCCCCCCCGGGTCTCCCTGCTGGCTTGCTGGTGGCCTGTGGCAGTTTCAAACAGCGTTAGCAGTCACCGGCAGAGAGCTTACCGTATGCTCGGCACGTACTTAGTCCAGTTAACGACAAGGGCTGGAAGCCATATAAAACTTTAAAAAATAGAGGCTTAAGGGGCACCTGGGTGGCTCAGTCCATTCAGCATCCAACTTCAGCCCAGATCGTGATCTCAGAGTCCGTGGGTTCGAGCCCCTCTGTGCTGACAGCTCAGAGCCTGGAGCTGCTTCTGATTCTGTGTCTCCCTCTCTCTCTGCTCCTCCCCAGCTCGTGCTCTGTCTCTCTCTCTCTCTCAAAAATAAACATTTAAAAACTTTTTTTAAAAAAATAGAGGCTTGACTCCCGTTTCCTCTGTCTTCATCTGACATCTGTATCAATCATGACTGCAGTTATTTGCAGCTTTGAGTTAAGCAGTTACATTTTCTTCCCAAATGCAAACACACCGCCATTGAAAGGGCAGCACGGGTTCTAGAAACGAGGGCCACAGACGTGGCGGTCGTAGCCAGGGCTCCCGGCAGTGTTACCCTGCACCATCACTACTGCCGTCGTACACGGCCTTTCTCCTCGTTCCCACTGTCATCCACCCAAGCGGTGGAGAAGGGACTCAAGCCTGGACCCTGGGTCTCCAGGACCCACACATAACCAGTGTTCTAGACTTCCCTACACTTCTAGGAAACAGAGCTGCTAAGAGTTCCATTAAGGTTTCTCTGTCAACAGCAGGGTGTTGACCTAAGGGTGGATTTCCACTGGGATCCCATTTACGCTCATCACTGCTGAACTGAAGGAATTAGAACACAGCCATTACAATTTCAGATTATATTAAATTAGGTCTGGTGCCTACGGTCTGGTCAACAAGAGTAAGAACTTGAGTCAATCAAATGACCCTAAAGAAAGGCAGCCCTAGGGAGCGGCCTGGGGTGGGTCAATAACTGGGTGTCGATTCCTGTCAGAAGGGAGGCCACAGGCCACCTACCGTAACTGATCTTAGAAGCCCCTGAACTTTTCAGGGACGCCTGGTGGCTCAGTCAGTTATGTGTCCAACTCTCGGTTTTGGCTGTAATCATGATCCCACGGTTTGTGGGTTCAAGCCCTGTGGTTGGGCTCTGCAGGGGTAGCCCGGAGCCTCCTTGGGATTCTCTCTCTCCTCCCCTCCCCTGCTGGTGCTTGGTCTCTCAAAATAAACAAACAAACAAAAATTTAAAAAGAGTGAAGTCCCTGAACATTTCAATGCTTTGTGGCTACTAGTGGCATTGTTTTACCTTGGATGTATGTTAATTTCAAAAAGCTTTATTTGGAAGGGATTCATTCTAGAAAGTAACACTGTTCACAGCTAGGTGTTTTTAGGCGTTTAACTGAGCGACTTGAGTATCCAAGGTGGGCATTTGGTTAAACTTCAAGTTCCCATTATAGAAGGCATGAGCTACGGGGAAGAACTCACCATCCGTTGGGCTGAAGCCAGCTGTGGCTGCTGTCGACAGAGGGCGCGGGTGCTGTCTCGGATGCCCTCTGACTCACCCTAGAGGAATGTGGGACGGCTCTCAGTGCGGCCGTGTGGCCTCCAGCGGCCTCATTTCCCATGATAGGGTTGCAGCTTCACGTCCCACTTGGCTCCCTGTGAACGCCGCCGCGCCACGCGCCCGGTCACTGCTGGGGTGGGTGGGCTCACAGCTGCCATCAGTGAGTTCCCCCGAGCCCCGCCAAACTGCACGGAGCCAGTGGGTCAGCTTGTTGGTGCCTGGAGGGTGGTCCCACAGACATGTTGGGCTCTACCCCAACCTGAAGCCGGACGGGCAGATGACTATCGACCTCCGACCTCACAGTATGGCACCCACTCCCTGTGGGCTGCTCTTACTGAACTGGACCAACATCTACGGTGAAAAATGCACTAAGAGGCAGTTCCATGAAGCCCATTGGGGCTACTGTTAAGTATGTAATTGAAGGCAGCGTCCTGTTTATTTGGCATAAATATGGTCAAATGCTAAACACTGAAGGTGCAAGGCAGGGACGCATAGTTTATAAACGTGCATGGCTGAAAATCACTCAGGATCAGAAGATATTTTCCCAATACAGTGTTTCATGAAATGTGACGTCAGCCAGAAACTGAGCCCAGTTTGGGATCCCTAGAAGCAGGTCCTGGGCCAACAGTGGGGAATAAGCACCGTGTTTGGGACACAGTCCCAGAAAGGACGAATGAAGAAAGGGAGAGAGTCAAATGGGCAAGGGAGGGACAGAGGTGAGTCAGAGGTGTGACAGGGAGCAGCGGGGGGCCCGGCTCCCCTGGGGGCCTCTGAGAAGGTCTCAGCGTCGTCTGACTCGGGCACCAGGGGCTCAGATCATCCCTCCACCCCAACTGCCGTGAACGCGGGTCTCCCCTGGGGAGCAGAGCCTCCAGCCGTGGGGGCAGGATGCACACGTGCCCCGCGTGGACCACTGGCAGTGCTGGACCTGGGGACACGGCACCTTGTAAGAGCCACCGGTCCGACATACACGCTGCGTCTTCAAGGACAGACAGCTACCTAGCCAGAAGTCACCAGAAGCTGGCTTCCAGCAAGGCCCAGCCAGGGAGGTGAACAGCCTCTCCCTCCCAGACCACAGGGCCCTGATGTCATCAGCTTGACCGCCAAGGAGCCAGCATTAGTGACTAGCAAGTTAGAACTCGCCTCCACTGTGGGCAGCTAGGGCAGTGCTGGTGAGACACAGTGCACGCCGCAGGCCCCTTGCACACCTCTGTCTCTGTCGCTCCCCGGCCGCGCTGGCCGCGGCCCCTGTGCAGGTGCTGGGGCGGGGGCTGGGGCGCTGCAGCTGCTACAGATGCTAGTGGCCCGCCTGGTTGCGGGGCGCCTCTTCCTCCATGCTGCTCTCCGGAGATGTCATGATGTAGGACTTGAGACTCACAGCACGCCTCCGCCTCCCCCCACTACCGTCCCCTCCCCAGGCCCCCGGGGACCCTGCCGCCCCCCAGCAGCCAAGCACCCGAAGCTTTGCTGACCACAGAGCTTGTCCCCCGCTGACCCGCCGCCCGCCCTGGGGCCGGGCTGTGACTGGCAGCTGTCCGCGTGTCCTTTGGTGGTTCACACCGAAGCAGGAATGTCACAGTGCAAGCTGAGTGGTCCTGGGAACTCGGCCAGTGAGGCAGGTGACTTGGGGGTCTGGGCCATTTGTGTCCACAGCTCACCTGCGCCCTCCGGACCCCCTCGCGCCCAGCCCTGACCCCGCGTCCGGCAGGGTGGGTGGCTGCAGTGCCAAGCTCCCTGTCACTCAGTGCTCCTCCAAGGGGCCACTGCCTCTCACTCTGTCCCCAGAATGTCCTCTCGGCCCCCTCACGAGGGCGCTCCAGCTGCCTTCGAGAAGAGCACCCTCTGGTTCTCAGCATGGGCCCATTTCACACTCGCCCGCCCTCTGACGCCCTCCACGCTGCCCAGGCTGCCCCCTCACTGGGGCCCAGCGGAAGCAGCCGGCCCGGCCTCGACTAAGGCGCAGTTCTGAGCTCCAGGATGCCGGGCCTGAGAAAGAGGCGCCGTCGTCGTCCTCATTGGCCTCTCCCACCCTGTCCAGCGACCCACCGTCATGAGTGGCGGCCTCCGCACGTGCCCGGGGCTCCTCTGACGAGCGGCCTTCCTCCGGCAGCGGCAGCCGCTGTGGTATGCCCCCCAGACCTGCAGGCTTGCCCAGCTGTTGGTCTAGAGGCCTTGAGTGGAGAGG